TAAATCTTGGTGATGAATGTGAATCTGTACCCAGAGATTTAGCTTTTTTCTTCATGGTTTAGTCATTAGGAGTCCCATTAGACACCATACCTTTTCTCTTCAGGAAAATGAAAGATAATATCAAGCACAACTAAATTTAACTCACAAACACTTATTGAGGATCTGCTATCTGCAAGGCACTGTGCTAGACACATAGGGATATGAAAATTGAGTAAAGCGTAGACATTATCTTTTTAAAATATCAGAGCAGTAGTATTTCATAGCTTTCCAGCTTTGTAATGACAGTTATTTTTAATATCCTTAGAAGTAGGGGGTAAGGGGGCACTCTTGAAATAGAAAACAAGAATACCTTTGTACTGAAGTCCAGACTTGTCAGCCTAGGATTCAAGGTCTCCATTCAAATCCTCTTTTATACCTCATCTCTTTTGAGTTTTGTTTTGTTTTTTTTTCCTTTATCTCAGCGGAGCCAGCCTGCTTGCCAGTCCCTGCACACAACTAACTCTTGCTTCTGTGCCTCTGCTTGACTAATTCTTCTGCTTCTGGGATGCCTTTCTCCCTGTGAATCCATGTCCATCACTGCCATTACAGTCTGGCCTCTGAGTCCACCTACTGCAAGGAGCCTGTGGTCAGCATCCCTGTCTCCTCCTGTGTCCCTCCCACATGTGCATAGTCCATACGACTGGTGAAGGAATATTTCTGTGGTGTTCATTAAAGCTTCCCATTCTTTGTCCACATCTTGCTGATCTAGATACAACAGATTGCAAATGAAATAGTCCAAGATTATAAATTAAACCCAACCAGGTCATTTATCAAGCCTTTTAGGAGTGAGTCTCTGTATCAAATATTTCATTTTGATATTTGTGGGCCGCTAGTTGGAAGGATAGAGGAAGAAGATGAGAAAAGTTAGGATGGGGGTATGAGAAATAAACCTGGGGTCAATTAGAACAAACAGTCACACATCTGTAAATGATCCTCTCCTTCTACTCCCAGACAGGACAAGAAATCTCCTTTAAAACCAATTTCAAATACAGTAAGGGTATACTGACAAATTTTAAAGCTTAAAGAAAGCAGGGCTCTGCCTGTTAATCATCTCAAGCTTGTTAATCTGCTGTTCTGTAATTCTTTCAATATTGTTTAATGTGTGTGTGTTTTATCTTCTGAACTAAAAGCTTCTTGAGGACAGGGACCATGTCTTTTATTTGCCTCTGCATATTCTTCCCCCACTTAATCCCTAACCAGCATGGGAAAACCTTCTGTAAGCACCTGAGGGACAGGAATGGCAATTTGTGGATTCTAACTACATTCCAGCCTAATGTTATACTACACACTTTGTATGTATAGTAGCCTTTTGCCCTCATCACAACTTAGTGTGAGGTACGTGTTCCTGTCCTAATTCTACAGATAAGGAAATTGGAATTCAGTGAGTTCATGTTCTTACAGCTAGTGACTGATCGATCCAGAATTAGAGCACAGCTCCATCTGACTCCAAAACCTATATGTGCTATTCACTGTACCACAATAATAACAACAAACATTTGTCCTTTACAATTCACAAGTCTTTGGTCTACATTATGATTATTATTATTATTACTACCACTACTTACATCTTCGCTAGTCAGTAGGTACAGCCAGGATTATCACGACCCCCATTTCACTGGTAGGGAAACTGAGACTTGGAAGCTTGCCCAAGATCACACAGCTGGTAAGTGGAGGAGAATCAGGACTTCAGACAGACTTCCTGACTCCAGATCTTTTTTTTTCTTTCCATGACATCACATTGCTGCCTTAATTCATTTGCACAATGCATGATTGTATGGCCATTGTTCACTGACGCCTTTCCTACAGAGAGTAGAGCCATGTGGAGAAGAAAATAATTCATACCTTCAGAGAAACTTCCATTTTAGTGGGGGTTGATACAAAGCACCCAGAAAGTAAATCTTGAGAAGAATAGTTCACAAGTTCACAAGTAAGAATTAAAATATGGGCCCATTGTTCCATAATGAAATCCTATAATTTGGCCATAAAACTAATTTAATGTTTTTAATTATTTCTGTAATTGGATTAGGGAGCAGGGATAAAGCTGATAGACTTACTTGAAAATATTCTTCCTGGGTTTAGATGTGAAAGTGCTAGATACTTCATACAAGTTAGTAGCTAGCCCCAGAATCCTTTTTTTATCAAAGAGATGCAGTAGCGTTAGTCTCAGGAGTGATGGTATATCCACCCAGCAGTTTATCACTCGATAGAATCTCTCCAGTCCCATCTGCCAGTCCTACTTTTACCTATCCCTACCCTTCGGTCCCTACCCCGCCCCTGAGTTTACCAACCCCTTCAGACCCTCAGCGTTTCATTCCCAGCAGGTTCTCCCTCTTCTCCTTTTGTGTCAGTTGTTAATATGTAGTATCCAACATCACAAAGTCCTTTAGCACAATCAGTTAGAACCAGGAATTTATTTAAAATACAGATATATGATTGATGTCAGTGCTAGAGAGAAGTTTTAATGGAAACATTGTTTCTAGCTCTCCACTGAACATTCCTACCTGGTTGTCATGTAGGCACCTCAAGCTCTTCAGGTCCTAAAATATATCAGCATCTCCCCACCAAATCTCCATCTGCTATGTCCTGGTCCCATTGAATAGAGTCACCATCCACTTGGTCATCTGAGCTGAAACAACAGAAACTCTCTACTTACTACTCTCCTTCTCCAACCCCTTTTCCTCCCAGTGAGTGGTGAGATCTACCTCAGAAATGTTGCGTTTTCTTCCCACAACCTCAGACTTAATCCAGCTCTCTGTCTCCTCCCCCACACACTATTATGATGACTCCCCCAATGACTTGTCTATCTGCCACTAATTCCAAAGTGTCTATCATGCTGCTGCCAGAGATACTTTCTTATAAAACAAACGTAATCAAACACTCTTTACAGAGTGAAATCGAAGCTCCTTATTTTGGCATTTAAGACGTTGTTTACTATTGCATCCCAAACTACCCTTGCAGGCTTACCTCCTGCCCCTCCTTCATTGAACCTCACCATTCCCCAAACACTGGGCCTTTTCCCGGCTTCATGAGACCCCAGAGATACAAAAGATGAGCTGACACAATCCAAAAAGGTCTAAAAGATACAGAATCACACACGTCAGTGGGACCATTCGGAGCTCTTTATAGTCTCCTTTATCTGAAACGCTCTGTGCCCGTCTGCCTAGTACAGGGCCACTCACTGACACCTTATTTGGCAGTGCCCTCCCCAGACAGCCTGGTCAGTGCTTCATCTCAGGAGCTGCCACACTTCTTTGTTCATAATTCTCTTACAGCATTTACCTCATTCTGCTCGAAATGACTTTTGCATATATTTGCTCCTCAAAGGCAGCAGCTGTACCTGGTCTTCCTTTCTTCCCAGTATATGACATAGTTCCTGTCACATAGTCATTGAACAGGTGTTGAAGACATGAACTCAGTGTGCTCCTCCACTGCAGTTAGGGTGATTAATCCAGATGCGGTGGGCTGCAAAGATCACTGGACTGGGATTCAGGAGACCCATGTCCCAGGTCCAGCTCTACAACTAGATATGTGACCTTGGATGAGTCATTCAGTCTCCTTTATTAAAGAAGGGGGTTGGACTTAATGATCTCTAAGACCCCTTCCAACTTTAAGTTCTATGATTCTGACCCCATTTCTTGGATTGGGAAACACATTTCCTCCCTCATAATGTTCAGGAGCCTCAACTTAGCCTGTCAGACGTTCACATTTCCCAAACAAAGTTTTCAAACACTTCGAAATTGTCTACTGGAGCTAGCCAGAGCTCTTCATCAGGCTCCTGTTTTCTTATCCATTGACCACTGAGCTGTTCTCACTCCTTCCCAGGAGGCTTCACTGTGTCTGTAACACCGTTACACTACTGTGTGACTGCCCCTCCCCAGGAGGGAGCCCTTCTTTCTCCTAGCCTAAGGGACAACTGTGAGGAGGGAGTCATTTCCCTTCCATGCAAATCTCAGCAACATTCTAGCTGCTGCCATGTGGGTTTTTGGTTATGGACATGTTTTTGGGGGGTGATGCCCATTTCTGTGATAAATAAGTTTTAAGCAGTTCATAGGGGCTCTTCAAGGCCACTCCTAAGTACACTGCTGACCTTTTTAGGGATGGGAGGACTGGAGTTAGCAACTCAACAGGTACATTCACCATAATCTCCATGTAATAAATAAAAACCTATGAAAAGATTAAATAAATCTTTCCTAATGCTTTTTGATTGGCTTAATCAATAATTAATCATCTTTAGATGAGGCTGTAACTTGTGGAGTAGATATAATTGGATTAGCTGAAAAGCGGCCATTGGGGAGCTTTGAAGAGATTAAAATGGCTGTCAATCCCATAATTAAACTGCCACAAACAAAAGCAATGGTGTTTTTTAAAAAGGAGGAGGAGGAGGAGGAAAGAAAGAGTGAAAGAGAGAGAGAGAAGGAAAGAAAAGTCGGGGAGAGAGTTGGGGAAGGCCAACTAATTTGAAATGAATCAACAAGTACTTACGTATCACTTAGAGATTGAGGCAAAATCAAAACCGATAGATTTATTCCATTGAATGAAGTGTATGCATATCAAATCAGCCATTTAATTATATGCTCCAACCACTGGAGCAGGTGAAATTTTGATAGCTTCAACTTCTCTAAAACAAAACCAATCCACAAACGGAAAAAAAAGAAAAGTTAATTATTCAAAACAGAAGAGACCTGCTCCTTGTCCTGAGCCCATTTAGACCTTGACTTTTCATACTTTTAATTGGCTTAGTAGGTTTGGCCTGTGTGAATGAAGTCTTTTATCTCCTCTTTTTCTTTCCATGCCCCTTTCATCTTTCCTATTACAAACACACAGAGAGAGCTGAAGGGAAAATACTTTGGTTTTTAAAGACTTTTCTTTTTAAAAGGGTGTGGATTTGGGCGGGGGGGAGGGGTGTGTGTGTGATGCTGGTGAATACTTTTTTTCTCTCTCTCTTTTATCTCTTTTTCTAGAGAGGAGTTGCTTAAACCAATGGGACTAAAACCTGATGGGACAATAACGCCTTTGGAGGAAGCACTCAACCAGTATTCTGTCATCGAAGAGACCAGCTCTGACACAGACTAAAAGCATCACCTGCTCAACTCTCAATATTGCTTTATCAGCATCTTTTCTCTGTAGCTCCAGGGGAATCTTTTCTCTAAAACATTTATGCCCTTGCTTTGGCTAGAAACACATTAACTGGTTTACTCATTGAGAATCCAGCATATTTAAGAGGTGACCCTGTGTTTTTTGCGATATTGAGGTATTCATACAGAGCTGCAGTTAGACAGGGTTACAGGGGCTAGAAGCAGAAAAAAAATTCCATTTCATCAGGATGGAATTGAAGGATTTTATTCTACAAAGCGGCCCTGGTTGAATCTGGCAATTCTTTTTGCCAAGCTTCTTAGCAGAAGATTTAGCCATGTCCTTCCCCTCACTTGTGTGAGTGGCCCCTTCTGAATCTCTCCAGCAGCCAGAGGCACATGAGAAACAGAATGAGCTGGTAAATAAAGCCTTGGGCAATCGACTTCTTAGATCAGAACTCACCAAATGGAAGCCTAGCAGCTGCTCCATAAACCTAGCCCCATTCTTCATATCAATTTTGTATAAATATATGGAAACACACACACAGCCTCAGACTTACAAACTGATTATACTCTAAAAGTTTGTATGTCACTTAGCTAAAACTTCAGAATACATTTCTCCCTATAAAGAGTTATAAATGATGGTTTAGTTCTCAGGCAGCTACAAATGCCTATTTATTCCCTAATGTACCTGAACACTAGTACCATAGAACTGAACCACCATCTGTATCAGTGCATGGGGAGTATGCATTCTGAGGTCTAACCCGGGGTGCCAGGAACACACACATCCTCCATCCCAGCAGAGAGAATGGGGGCTCCCTGAGTAATGGGAGTTCTTTCGTGGCCTCTGCTTGGGGTGGGGGAGTCAGCAGCACCCATTTGTACATATAGGTCATTCATACATCACGTTTTAAATTGGGAACTGTGTGTGTGCTGGTGTGTGTGTGTGTTCTACGTTTCTACCATATGTGATCAGTTTAATAGTAACTTTATTTATTTAAGAAAAAGAAACACAATTAGTTACTGTTAAACTGATAAAGGCTGTTTATTTTTACTTTTAGAATTGGTCCTATGGAGAAGGAGAAAGTGAGTCATGCACTAGACAGTGGGCCTAGCTCATCAGCGGCTAAAGTTGAAAAGGGGTTGGTTTCCTGTATATATATGTATGTATATACACACGTACATACATTCATATATATACATATATACATAATGTGCTTAACCACTGCCTTTTAAAACTTTAAATAAAACATTGGGGTTGATTCAATTTGGCCATCTGTGTGTGTTTCTTTATAGATACATGGGCTAAACAATACTATTTCACAGTTTATGCTTTTTAAAGTGCTTTTACATCCATTGTCCCACTTCTAATAGCCTTTTTAAGGACAGGTAAAGTACATGGAGTATTATGAAAAGGTCATTTATCCAGAAGTTACCTCTCTGGCAAAGCAAAAAACTCGGGAATTGAGTTGTAAAAGGCCTTTCAGCTGCCAGAGGAGATGTCACAAAGCTTCTTGCGACTTACTTGTGGGAGAGATCTTCAGGAATATCACTCTTAGACTTTGAACTGAAATTTGCATACGCTTCCAACATGTTTTATTAGCTGGCTTTGAAGCTCACAAAAAATGGCAAAGAAAGAGGCTGCTAGATTGAAGGCAGGCATACTGAAAGAAGAAAAAGGCCAACTGAAAACCAGATAGATGAGAAGAATAAAACTTCAAGACGTAGCAAATCTGGGACTATCTCCTTACCAAAGGATACTCTAGTTGGCCCCGAAAATGTGTGTATTAACAATATGGCCCATAGACTAAATCTCATATTGGTGACCCTGAGTTTTTTTAAAAGAAGAAATTAAATCCAGAATGCTTTATAAAAGGCTAGGAAGAAGGCAATACATGTTAGAATTTCATCCAAAATATTTGAGGAGAGGTGAGTGACCCAGGTTTTAACCAACAGCAAAAGAAATGGGCAATTCATAATTTTAGATTAAGTGAAAAAAAGTTTAGAAAAAATTCAAGTATTTTTGTTATTTCATTCTACAAATGCATTTTTAAAGTATTTTTATAATTTCTATAATCAAATAGCTTTGGCATGCATGTCAGCTTAACGAACTGAAGATGTGTTTAATGAAATGCCATCTTACCAGCTTTCTTTATGCAGAGTAAGTGTTTGAACAGTCCTGTTTCAGTAGCTGTGCTCTTCTGCTTTCAGTGAATTCTGTTTCATTTTGCATTTCTCTGCATTGGGCACCAAGCTTTGTTTTTAAAAAGAGAGAATTTGCGGGGAAGAAGATGAGTGTCTTCATCTGGCACACGGAAAAAGAACTAATATCTATTAAGTGCTTACTACATGCTGGGCTTTTTATGTATGTTATCTCGTGTAACCTCACCTTATCGCATATGAAAGATCCTCTCCAGAAAGCTTGTGAAAGTTACCCCACATCACAGCAAGGAAGAGTCCAACCCTGGTGGCCTGATTCCCAGCACCGCTCCTTCCTTTTCCCCACAGTACACCTGGGCCCACACTGTGCCTCCTTAGGGCTCTGAAATGCTGGGAACAGAGTGGGGTGAGGAGGGTGGTCATTCTCAGGCCATTTTAAGCAATAACTATTTCAACAGAACTAGTTTAAAGAAGTTTTTAAGCAGGGAAGTGACCTGGAGTGGAAGTATGAGTGGGAAACTTGTGTGGTCAGCACTGGATTTCCAATGAAGACCTGGAATCCCTTAGGATAGGCCAGGGACCAAGGCTGCAGACTGGCCCCTCTGCCCACAACTCTCCTGACCTTGGAAGCAGGGTACGGAGGTGTGCGTCCTAAAATAAAGCACTGGAGCTGCTGCTACAGAGGAAGCATCACCAGATATTGTAACCCTTTCGGATGCCCAGTAGTCCTGGGAGGCAGGCAGGGCAGGTGTTATTATCTCTCCTTAATAAATGAGGACACAGACTGAGGCAGTACTAGTGACTCTAAACACCCCCTTAGTGCCACATCAGTCTCGCCACCTCCCAGGACTAGGTGTCACGTGTCTTGACCTCTTCCCCTCTGATTATAAAAGTAATATATGTTCATTGTGGAAAGTTTGGAAAATGCAGAAAATTAATAATTTACCCCAAATCCCACCAAACTGAGATCACTGTTAATGTTTTAGTGTATTTCCTTCCTGTATTTTTTCTATGCATATATAATTTATTTTACTACAAGATTGGGATCATGCTGTATTTACAGATTTGTATCCTGCTTTCTTTAACATATTGTGAGCATTTTCCCATGTCAATAAATATTCTTCAAAAAGTAATGGCTATATGATATTCCATTATGTGAATTGTGGCAGACGCTGCTAGTTTCCTTCCCAATATTCTTTCTAACAGAAGACATCATGACCACCACACCCATCAAAAAAAAAAAAAATTTAAAAAGGTGGTGCCTGCTGGCTTTCTAGAAGGCAGCGTGAGTTGTTAGTGCTGAAGAGCAGCAGGAACTAGGGGTGGCACCAGGAGGAGCAGACTTGCTCTGCCAGACAGCACCAGTCTCACGGAAGCCTCAGCAGCACAGGTCAGAACAGTTAGAGTAAGTGCCCAGATAACTAGTTTTTGTCAAGAAGAGTTATTTGAAGGGAGCAAGGGTGCCAGGTGACTTAGAAAAGTGCATTAAAAAAAAGACATCAACCATGTTTAGTGTTTAGTCAGTTATTGGCATTAATTTTTTTTTGGAGATATTCACTGCAGTTTCAGAAGTGGAGAGCACACAGGGATGGGGAGTGATGTGTGACTCTCAGGAAAAGCAAAGTAACACGTGTCAATAGTTGTGTGATAAGCACAATATGGAGAACAAAGTGTTCAAGGAACAAATTACAGGTGAGGAAGGGAGGTATTTGTAGCAACTATGAGAAGGTTTAAGGAGAGGGAGAGGTTTCTAGAGAAGACTTGAAAGTGATGTGACTCTGATGCACTGTGTTGAGTCTCTGCACCAGGTCTAAGAAACATCAAAGAGTATCAGAGCAGCCTTTCTTAAAGCACAGGGGACTGGAGATAGTGAAGCCTACATGCCCTGAATTGTAGACAATGAACATACTCTCCGTGCGTCTAGAACGGTGTAAGCGATGTAACATTCTGAGAACTGAGAAAATAGTCACTCCAGTCGCTTTCTGTGTTCTGTGGTCCAGATGAACCCTGGTTGAGAAAGGCTGTTCTAAGAGAAAAGATCAAAATTATTCTCCAAGGCTTCTGGAGTCAGATTTGCATTTTCTTTTAGTGCAGCACAGTGAAGATCCTAAGCCCCACCCTGCAGCGATATCCAGATCTCAGAGACCTCTACCTTTTCTGCACTGAACTTCACAATAAGAGCTGCAAATAATTGTTGAGCAATCACTGTGCCACACACTTGAAGTTAGACTGTGCACTAACATGCACTAATATGCACAGCCTAACTTCATAACAATCTTGAGAAGTAAGCACTGTTATAATAGCTTCCATCCACTTTTCAGACATAAAGGTGTGAAGCACTGTGTGCAAGCACACAGCCCTCTCTATTTGCTTATCAGTTGATACACATAGCAAAATTTGAACTCAAGCCTGGTGCCAGAGTCCATATAAATACTATGGGACCACATAAATACTATGGGAAAAACAGAATCGGGAAAGCAACACATTTTTCTTACTTCATTTCCATATCTCACACATTTCTTATCTAGCTCCCATTTGGGAACTAGTCTCAAACCTATACTCCCCAGCACACCAATCCATATCAATTTGTTCAATTAACATTGATCGAGCATCGACTATGTCCCGGGTACTCGTCAGTGTGCTGGGGTGTACAAACATAACTGAAAGGTCCTGTCCCCTAAGTGCCCACAGTGTACGAAGTCCAGAACCAAAGTCTGTGCTAAGTGTTACAGGATGCCGGGCTGAGGTGTGGCTAATGCTGACCAGGAGGATCGCAGGGGTGAGTAACAAAGTTCTGTAGGTAACATACACGTTTTCCATCTACTAGAAAAAGGCTGTTGCTACCAAAGAACTGGGTCAAACCCAAGCTCCTGGGCAAAAGGTTTACAGAACACAAGTTGTTGAGTGTGATGGAAACAGCTATCCCATGCCTCATGGCTGGACACATGAGCAGCAGCCTTTCGGACATGAAAAGGACCCCACCAGGAAGAGCACTCTGGCTGCCGTATAGAGAGTGGACTGGTGAAGGGACAGACAGAAGAGACCAGCCAGAAAGCTGTTGCCTCTACATGGGAGGGGCAAGTAGGGCCTGGACTAGAACACTGGCAGTAGATGTAAAGAAGGGAATGGATTCAAGAAATATTTCAAAGATAAAAGAAACACACTTAGATCTTGGAGAAAGGCAAGAAAGAGCTCATTTAACTCATGGGAATGAGAATGTTCAGAGAAAAGATCATCTGAACCATTGGCTCCCAACCTGTGAACTAAACAACTCTGGGTTTGGGAGCAGGACAGTGGGGCTGAGAGTTATTTCAAGGAGTCTGCAAATGTGTATGGTCAGTAAGCATCATTTATATACCAAATAATGCCTTGGACATGCAAGGACTCCTATTGTACAAATACTTTATATATACATATTGACATGATAAAAGCTCATTTGTATAGTTACTACTGCATTCTTAGTATCCTTTTGCCCATCTGTATTTTCTCAGTTAAAACATGATAAGCCACTATTATGTGAAAGGAGACCCTGGAAAGTTCAGGCTTTAGAAAAAGAAATTCTCATAATTTAAAAAACGTAACTCTTAGTAACAAGTATCAGAAACTCAAAATGCACTTGCTTAGTAATGGAAGAACATGCATCTTTTGTAAAGAAAAGAGGAGATGAGCAACCAAGCTGTAGAAAGAATGGAGCGGGGTCGCAGGCACGGCTGAGACCTGAGTCTTACTACAGGAGGAGATAAAGGGATTTATCAAATCCATGCTCAGTGATGTCATGATGGGAACTTGAAGTCAACTGTGGTGGTAATGTTGACACCATGTGAATCAGCAAACACCACAAATTAGAGCTTGTATTCCCCTAGAGAGCCAATTAAATATTTACCAGCAGTCACTGTAATATACGCTGCAGAACCCCAAAACGGCTTAGGAATCAGAGATACCAGTAACATCTGCAAATAAGGGTGTGGCTGGGCTTTAAAAACAAGCAAATTCCACACTCCCACCGGCCCCTTCCACACACACTCGCAAGCGTATGCATACAACCAGGTGACTCCTAACCCACCTCCCCAGCATAAGCCAGGAGTTTCCCTGAGGAAGTTAATTCAAAAGGCTCTAGACCCCCGGACTCAGGCATAGAAGAAGACAGGGGTAGCTTACTGAAAACAAAAGAATCTGGTAAGAGACCTCACACTGAAGCACTGGATCTTTAGCCTCCTTTCCTAGTCAGCTCTAAGAATACTGGCAGCCAGGACTCTTCTAGCTGAGAAAACTGACCCAAAAGAAGAGATACAGAGACTGAATATTAGGAATCCTCTAATGAAATGCCCAGATCCTAGGCTTTTCACAGTCACTGAAGCCACCATTCATTCATTCATTCATTCATTCAACAAATACACACTGAGTGCTAATATCCCAAGCACTGCAGCAGGTGCAAAAGACACAACCACGAACAAAACAAAGACCCCAACCTCACAGAGCTTTTATTCTTCTGGAGAAAGACAACAAATAAATCTAAACAGCATACTGTCCTGTCACATCGAGTGATGATAAGTCCATTGGAAACAAAAGCAGAGTAAGGCCGAGGTGGAAATTTTATAAAGGGTCATCAGGGAAAGCCTCTCGGGTAAATTGCTTTTTGAGCCGAGATCTGAAAGAAGTGGGAGGAAAAAGCCAAGTGAACACTTAAGGGATGTTCTCTCCAGGCAGAGGACACGGCAAGGGCAAAGGCCCTGAGGCAGCAATAATCCGGATATGACGGGAATGGCAGGGTGGCCAGTGCAGCTGGGACAAAAGAAGAAAGGGAGAAGGAGACCGGAGATGAGGTCAGAGAGACAGAATGAGTCCACATCACGCAGGCCTTGGAGAAGACACCATCAGCTCACCCAGAGCTCCCAATCAGGTTTTCCGTGTCTCACTTGTCCATGTGGAGGGACAGTCCACAGGGTCTAGACCTTTGAGGAAATCTTCTCGCATGAAAAACAGAGGCCAACACAAACCAAAAAACAGGGAGCCAAAGAAAACGTCTACGAAACCATGATTAATTATCATAGACTTCAGCTCTAAGAAAAGAGCAGAGCAAATAAGCAAGACCTAAAAATAAATAAACCTAGAGCTGAAGAAGGCAATTAAATAAAATAGAATTAACTGATAAGCAGTACACTGGGTAGTGGTTCATTTATTTTAAAGTGCAGTCATGAACCACATAATGACATTTCAGTTAACAACAGGCAGCACATATGCCCATGGCCCTATGAGATTATAATGGAGCTGAAAAATTCCTGCAGCCTAGGGACATTACAGCCATCGTATCATCGTGGCACAATGCATTACTCACGTGCTTGTGATGCTGCTGGTGTAAACAAACCTACTGTGCTGCCAGGCCTATACAAGCATCACACTTAATTATGTACAGAAGGCTGGGTGCAGTGTCTCACACCTGTAATCCCAATACTTTGAGAGGCCAAGGAAGGAGGATTGCTTGAGGCCAGGAGTTCAAGGCCAATATAGTTCAAGACCTCCCACCTCAGCCTCCTGGATAGCTGGGACCACAGGTGTGTGCCACCATGCCTGGCTAATTTTTAAAAAATATTTTGTGGAGACAGGGTCTCACTA